TCTCCAGTTATCTCCGATCTCTTTCTATTTTTTGCTTATTCAGGAATAAAATATGCACTTTTAGGATGGCACTTATGAACATTTAGTGTATTATTCGTGAGCAAGTCGTGAAGTAACGTAGACGTTATCAAAGTGAATTTCTTCAAAGACAATTGTTTTTTATTTTTTACAAATATTATTAGTGTCAACATATAAAAACGTTTTTGTTTTATGGTGTATTTTTATAGAGAGTAAATTGGATTTTTAGTGTATAAAAGGTATGTTTTCTAATGTTGAAATAAGGAATGTTGGGCTATGTGCTGCACCTTGTTTTGAAATTTACCATACAAAAGAAAATTTTGAATAGTTTTAGTTTATTATATATTTTTCAGCTAATAAATATTATTATTATATTATTACAAATTTAGGTAAAATTAAATATTTTTCAGTTTTTTTTTTCGTCTCCTCCTTCCCCTTCAAAATAGTAACTGGTAATTGAAAAACAGTACGATGGGTACAAAATTCGATCTGCAATGCGATTCAATATTCACTATAATTATTTATCCACTATTTTTAGTGAATTTTTAGTTATTTTTGCATTTTTTTACATATTTATTGAAATTAAGGTCCAAATATGTATTTTCTTAGATAAAAAAAATTGATTTTTTTGGTCGGTTTTTTTTTTTAAATTGTGCATTAAGGGGTTAAAGAAAAAAGAAAAGAAACACAGCTTATTATCCTTATCATCTTAAGAAATCGTAGGGAACCGCGTATAACAAATACGCGGAGAAACACTAACCGTGGCCTATTTCCTATCTATTGTCCGCCGAATTCGACTCGGTGATCTATTGGCAATTAACGGGATTTTTCGAACGATAAATGACAGGCTTCGTACGTAGATACGATCGATCGTTTTTCCACGAACAGAGGAAAGTAAAATGTCCAGCGTGGCAACGGTTATTTATACCGGCGTACATTTTTCTTTGTTTTCTTTTTCTCTATAAGCAACGTTTTATTCCCCGAGTACGCGCGTAATCGACGTACGAAGAAGCTAACTTTGAAGTAATCCGATGTAAAAAAACGGCCACACACACAGCCGCGATTTTATAGATTGTTTATCAGCCGGCACGGGCCCGAGCCGAGTCCCATTAAAAAGATGTTCGCACAGATCGTTTCTCTTCTGGCGACTTGGAATTGCCACTAACTCCTATACCGTGGAAGTTTATGGTAGTTTTAAGACTTCGGAATTGCTTTACAGCCTTGTCCTTAGAATCATCGAGCAGGGTTTATGCGGATCAAGCCTGAACGAGAGGATCGCTCGTCCACGGAGAATTTATTAGACGAGGAATATTGAATCGCTCGCGGTCGCGCGCGACGACGACGCGACGAAAATTTTTGCAATCGCAACGCAAACGCGTCGCGAGGTGAAACGATGCGCGCCGCGGGACCCGGCCGAGACACGGAGGATTAGGGTCAAGTGTATTAGATTTTGAAGCAATCGGCAGAGCCGCGTCGAGCGCCCATCAACGATACGGGACGTTGCGCCAGCTCTTTGAGACGGCAACCAAACTGTGTACGGTGCTCGCCCCTTTAATCCGAGCCCCGATCGACTATTATTAGGCGAAATCGCATTGTCTCCGGCGGAGGTGGCCGTGTAATCGGCCCGGGGAGCGCTAATGGAACTCTCGAGAACGCCCCCACGAAATCGAGCCCGTCCCATGGAACCCGGGGAGGATCTCGCGAGCGCAACCTGCAACGACGATTCATCGTCCGCGGAGGGTTGCAGTCACGCGATGCATCGACGCCGAAGCCGAACGGACCCCCTGGACGAGTCGAATATGCTAATCCCTTTCAGTAGAATCGTCTGTTCGTCGTCTGGCGTCCGAATGCGCCATACATTCGGGCGAGCGGCTCTGGGACGCTGATCGAGCGACGCCAGGATGCTCGCTTCTGGCGCTGACAGCGTGCAGAAATTTGCGAACATGGTTCGAACGCGTTTGAAATAGTCTACTAAGTTTTGTAATAATATCTCGTACAATTTGTCCAAGAAAAATTCGCGAATAGCAGCTTGAAACCTATCGACGACTGCGAAAGTACGAAGTACCATTTTCTCTGTCAACGAACAATCGTCGCAATTTCCAAGATAACAGTGTAAAACATTTTGTGAATATAGTTTAAATATATCTCAGAACGTTTGCAAAGTTTCGCAACAATATCTCGAGAGGTTTATTAAACAAAAATCCCGAAACTGCACCCTCAAACGCACCTACATCTTCGAATGACCACTCGAAGTACCGTTTCCTTTTCCAACGGACAACTGTCGCAATTTTCGGGGCAACGACGCGCAAAAATTCACGAACACAGCTCTGAATATATATTGATAGATCCGGTTGGTTTCGCGAAGATATCTTGGACAGCTTCCGATACAAAAATTCCGGAAGCGCGCTCTCGACGCCTACCGAAAAATGCGAACGCCATTGCGACGCCTGTCTCTCTCGCCTCGAAACGGACGACGCGACCGTCTAATAATAATAATAACAATAATATAACAACGTTTAATATCGATAAAAAGAAATCCTCGAGCATCCGCCGGCAATGATTTTTGCGTGCACGACGTCCGCGCGGAATATACGACGCGCGGCAGCGTCCGCGGAAGCATGTGCGGCGTGGCAAGCCGCGCGGAACGCATTATTTTCCTTTGGCAGGTTGAAAATATGTTGCTAGCTGCGGGGCGAGCACCGTGGTTGGGGCGAGACAGAGGCACGAGGCGGAGATAAAGAGAGGAGGCTCGACATTTCGTGGCCGGCGTGGCAACGAAACTCGCCGCGGAAACGGGGACGGTCGATGAGGCATGGTGTTAACACGTCCGCGCGGAACAACGGCGCGCCGTGGCCGAGCGCCGCTCGGAAATTAGCGGGCGCAAACAATGGAGTACGGTGTAACAGCCGCATTTCCATAAAATCGATGCGTTTCGGCTGCGAGCGCCCCGCAATCCGCGCTCGCGAATCCGCCCGGGGGATGAATCGTCGCGTTCGAGCCTGTCCCCGCGCGTTCAATTAATCTCGATGGAGCCTTATTAGCGGAGGCAGCGCGGAGAACTCCGTCGCAGAGCACACCGCGCTCGATGCCCAATTTATAATAATTAATTAACGCGCGACAAGATCGAGCCTCCGATTAAAACGTGTGTACGCCAGATGTTTGCGCATTCGGAAGTTCGCCTGTCGTTTCGTACGAAACGTACGCCGTCGTTTTCTCGTTAAATCGGTGTTCCAGAGGCGATCCCGCATTCCGCCGCGGCGGTATCAGGCCCGTTGCGGTTCCCGAAATTTTATGGCAGCCGTCCGAATGGGAGCTCGGCGGCCCAGCAGGGGCGGCGATCGGCGAAAATCGGAACGTTTCAATCGGTGGAATCCAATTACGTTTTCGGTGCACGCGATACGAAATGAGACGTTCCGAGATGTCGCGGCGTCGCGCGCCTCGCCGTATCGTTTATCCGCCGGTAATTATGCTCCTAAAGGAACCTAATTTCGCGGGCACGCGGGGCCCCACCGCTCGCTCGCTCGCTCGCCGTCCGTAAAAAAAACTTTCTCGACGGGAGCCGCGTAAAGTCAATCGAACGACAGTTAAGTAAATTTGGGTTTCTTGGACGGCCCCGGAGCGGCCGGAGTAATTCGTGTCAAGCGATATCCGAGCGGATGGCTTGATACCTGAAATAATACTGATTTTAGTGAAACCTTGCGGTTACCGGCTCGGCCGCTCTCGGCTCCGTTCGGCTCCCGCGAAATGCCGCCGCACTCGGCTCGGCGGCCCGTTTCGGACGCAAATTCCGGGAGAGGCTGGGAAGTAGCGAACGGATGATCGACCCCTTCGGGCGGTTGTAACTCTCGCGACGCTTCCGTAATTATTTTAAACTCGGTTTCTCTCCTCGTTACTCCCGGACCGGCGCACAGTTCCCCTAACTTTAGAAAGTCATGGTGCTGCGAACCTTTCGGCGGGACGCGTCGCGCGTTTTTCACGGTCATCGACGGGAATTGGGTCTTCGATGATGAAAGAATGACTTCTCGATGGGCTAGGGCTTTTTAATGGTTTCCAATCGGCTTCGATATCGTTCGATCTTCGTCGTCTGGTACCTGGTTGTCTTCTACAGGGTGCGCAGAAAATTCCTGTATCTGTATATAAGTGTTCGTACACCTTCTAAAATTTAATAACTTTTTTGAAACTCAACTAAACGTTCTGAATTTTTTTTAGACGATAGCGGGACTAGTCTACTATATGATGACTGAAATGCCATTTTTAAATTTTGATATTACTTAGGATGACAAAAAAGAGAATAATTTTGGTTAAAATCGTGATAAAACTGCGATTTTTGCCGTCTTCGATTTGTTGTAACTGGATGCATATAAATTACCGAGATCTACGAGAGGTATTTTTATAAATTTTCGCTATAAGCTCTGATGAATTCATTTGACATTCACTAAATTTACGAAAAGTCACTTAGTCCGGTTTTAAAAAAGTTATTGCGTTTTAGAAGGTGTACGAACACTTTTGTGGACCACTGTATATTCAGCTGATTTCGAAACAAGGACACTTCAATTTCATATTCTATACATTTCTCCAGGTTAATAAACATATTAATCGCAAAATTGAACAATAGAATCTACGTTAAGTTTTAATGTACATTTTATTGTTTAGGTTATGATCAATTCATGCACACTACGTTATTATAATTTCGTTCCACGCATTTTGCAAAGCTGATTTTAACTCATTCGTCGATTAGATAACCTTTGATATCCTTTAATACTAGAACTGTCGAACCCTAAACGCGACTAATGTACATGGTTATATAAGGTGCCCCATGATTATGTTGACACCCGGAAAGAGGTGATACCTGAGGTCATTTGAAGTGACTTTTTCCTTTACACAAATTTTCTCCGAGGCACCGTTCACGAGTTATTAAAGGAAAAACAGCGACCAATGAGAGGCAAGCTCGGCCGGCGCGCGGCGGCCGAGCCAACGAGCGACCAATACCCTGTTCCGCTGATTGACTGGACCGCCTAGCGCCAGGCGAGATCGCCTCTCATTGGTCACCGTTTTTCGTGAATAACTCGTGAACGAAGCCGCGTATCGCATTTTCGCCAAGGAAAAAGTTATTTCAAATAACCTCAGGAATCATCCTCAGGGCCTTAGGATATCTTGTATAACAGTAATAAGATTTCATTTATATAAACTCCGTACGGCTTCTATTATAATATACGCTTCGATGAAGAAGTACGTCTAAAAATAATATTATTTAATAATATCGGAAATTGTGAAAGAAACATATTTCGGAATTCTTTAACATTCTATAATAATTTTCGCTGCACTTCGACAACCCTGAATATTCGTCCACATTCCTAAATACTGATTTAGTCACCATTTTCCCTCAACATTCACCAATGTCCTTGCGCGCACATGCTCAAACAATCTCCAATATTCCCCAACGTTATCACTTTACAAACAAACCTAAAGCGCCAAGAATAAAAGAAACACGAACAGATCAGCCTAGAAAAGAAAACGAGAAAAGAAGAAACAAGCTCGTCGCTGTATCCTTTCACGAACGTGCGCGAACGGGTCTCGGGAGTGCTTAAATTTCCGCATCCGACGACGGTGTCATAAACGTCGGAATACCGAGGCGCGTATTGATCGAGCCGTGCACGCGAGCTGATCCGGTGCCAAAATATCGGTAAAAGGATCCGCTGGTGGATCGTAAGCGGAATCTCCGTCCCATCTGAAAGGCATCACCGCGTATTTCACGATCGAAGCACGGATTTATCGTCCGGCGAGGCACCGCGCGGCTCGCAGACCCGCGTAGCTCGTAAGTTCTCGCCGAAAGCTCGCCATTGCTGCCACCACCAAACATGCAGGTACATATACAATCTATACACGGGCACGTGCACGCGTACGCGCGCGCGCACACACACAGGCCCACGTAGACGGACGCGCACACACACGTGGATCGTATATTTCTCCGTTGATCCCGTGACACGCTCACAATATACAGTTAGCAGAGTTGCGTAACAGGAGGGTCCGGGAGGATCGCGCGGCGTAAATATAAAAAAATAACGGTACACCGGGTATATTGAGCGCGGACAATGTTCGGTTACCTACGGCCTCGTTATCGCCGGCCAGCTGAGTCGATACTCTGGTTTGCGGTTAATTAACGGCCGGCTTTTCGGATTACCCGCGACCCCCTGTACTCGTAAATCCCGATAGAGGCATCGGGAGATTAATCCTTTAACGGGCGACCGCGTCGACGAGGACCCTCAGGAACGTGTCCGTCGGCCCACGGATAAAACTACGAACCTGACGAGCCTTTGCTCTCACGGGAATATGGATTTTGAGCCGGCCAGGAAGACCGCGCGGCGATAAACCTCGCCGAGGCCGCGCTGCATTATTCGACGCGGGAACAGAATTTAGTGTTGCTCTCTCGCAGCCACGATCCTATCCGGCCGCCTCGCTATGTTCACCGTAGGTCGATCAGGCGATTTTTTTAATTAAACGCTGCGAAACGGACGCTGCCGTTCATTTCCCCCGATATTTCACGGGCGTCCGTTCGACGAGTCTTTATCCGGCAATTTTTAGACACTTCTCAGCCGCCGCTTTGATGTCAAAGTCGATCGCGCGCGGTTTCGATACCCTTCCGCTTCGACATCCTCCCGACAGGGTTAATCGGGCGATTTTTAATCAGACGTTGTAGGCAGATATTGTCCGTGATAGAGGACACCGCGTTGACGCCGGCAAAGCGGACGCCGTTCACGACTTCGTCGCGTCCGCATCGTTCAAGTCCATTGCTAGACTGCGGACTTTTATGGAAAGTAAATATTGTCTGCATTAATCGCCGGATTCAGAAGATGATGGATAGACGTTTATTTCGCTTTTGAATTTTTTGAAACGAGTTGAGAATAACGCGGCAGCGTTGAAGCGTTTTCAAACGCTTCAAGCGTTCTTGCCGTTTCGCGGTTTGACCTGATCATTTTTCTCGTAAATGCATAAAATCCGCGCGATTGTGCGTCAATTTCTTGCACATTCTTTGGCCTACTTCTACGCTGATCTCATTACCGATCTCGATAGGAACAGTGACGGTTTTAACGGGCTACTAAAACGTTAGCATTTAGATAGAACGTTTCCTCTCGGATAAGCTGACCCAAGTCCCGCTATCAGAAAGTTAATAAGGAT